CCAGACATGGTAATCTGCTGTAAAGACATTTCAGAAGACTTGCATTAGAAATTGCTTTTACTTTACAACACTGTTATTTGAGTCAAACAGGTGTTTTTCAGAAAAATGGAAATCTGGTTCAAGTGGAACCTCAAAAGAAACAAACTGTCAGGTAAAATGCATAAGCGGGATTTTCAAGAGCAAATAGCCAAAGGCAAAAAAGCAAGCTTTGTAAGTAGTTAAGAAGCACAAAAATTGAAAGAAGTTGGGTGAGAGAGAGAGAAATATATGGCTATTGACTCAAAATCCATGCATTTACTCTTACCATCTCCTCTCTTCTTGTCAGCTAATTTCACAAATATCATTTAGAAATTAAAATTGCGGCTTCTCTATTTACCAGCACAAATGTTTAAAAGTAATTCAGTAAGTTTTGGGATTTGTTTACCATAACATCAACATGAATGAAAGGCATTTCTTGTGATGATAGAAAATCTGTCCCATCCTCAAAAACAAAATAAAACACACTTGAGTAAGTCAGGTAATTATTTCAGCTTCCAGAGCATGTTCCTGTTAGTAGAAATGTGCTACGCAGAATTGGTATAGAGCTATAGATTTCATAGACATTAGGGCTGGAAGGGAGCTCGGAAGATCATTGAGTCCAGCCCCCCGCCCAAAGGGCGGGAAGTCAGCTGAGGTCATAGGTGTCCCTAGCTCATCTGTAGAATCTGTATGTGCTGGGAGGGGAGATGGGGATTGAATCCAATGTAAAGCTCTCAACCTAAGTTGTTTAATGGCATTTCAATATGACAAGAGGAAGGCTGGTGTGGAGGACACAGCATGGATACCTTCCTTCCCAATACCCCTATGGTAAGTAGAAGAACTGGAAGTATGGAAGAACATGGGGGTGTTTTCATCATGAGGAAGCGGACATTAGTGTGGAGGTCCTGAGTCCTAACACCCTCTGTTCCTACTGTTGTTCAAACCCGAGCATCTTGCAGCTTCTTCCCTAACAGTTACTTAGGACAGAAGTGGCCAACTGGCAGCATTAGTGCCACTAGTTATATAAACAGCCTCTGGGTGTGGTACATAGCAGATGATGGAGGGCACAGGCAGCACAACAGCTGATAGGGCAGAAAGCAGAGCAGCAGATTTGGCAGGGAGCAGAAAGCAGAGCAACAGATTAGGCACAAAGAAGGGACTGGAATGGCATTCAGGGAGGGTTCAGGGATAATTTGTGGCACAGCTGCCAAAAAGATTGGTCCCTACTGACTTAGGGTATGGACAGGTGTTATATTTGAGATAAATGCTTGTCTTCTGGCAGAAATGAGAGAGTAGTCATTCAATGTTTTTTTTGCAGAATAGAACTGATGCTTCAGCAAAAAAAGAAAAAATCCAACTGGGAATCTCCCTCTCCTCCCAGGCTTAGTTAAATGACTGTATGCGTTTCCCATGCCTTCCACAGGCCAATAACTAGTCTGTGGAAGGCAGGGGGAAATTTCCCCACCACTCAATTTAGCCTGGAGACGAAGACAAATTAAGCTGTCACCATCTCCTGCTCTTTTTACAGACTCTCAACAACTTAGAAAACCATAAATTTTATCTAATGCAAATATAAGAATTTTTCCACTTGGGGTTCTCACTTAAGTTTGAACCCGAGACATTTTTATTAGTTATTTTAAACTGGTTTGTTGATTCTCTAAACAGATTTTCACTATATCTGTCAACTTGTTGACCACATAAAAGCTCCTACAGTTACTTAGATTTCAATACCCTGTCCCCTACCCCACCATCATTTTCATGGCTTATGGCAGGTTTGAAAGTTGAGGAGTATAAACACAGGCTTTTGTGAAGTAGCATTGATCCTGCTTTCCTGAGGCCAGCTCATACAACTTCAGTGCCACTGGAAACAAAGGGAAATGGTAACCATTTTTACTTAACTCACCAGGACCCTGGCCCAAAGAATCTGATAGGAAAAAAAATTGGTGCATTAAAA